GCGCGGACTTTGCGCGCCGCGCGGATCCGTGGAATCCGCGCGGTTATTTGTCACCCGGAGGAAGTTTCCTCCCCCTCCCCGTCGACCCTGGCACGTCGCCCCGTTCCTCCAGAATTCCCCGCACGCAGCACCTCTAACGGCACCCCCTCCCCCTCTCCTCGTCCCTCTCCTCTCACCGCTAGAATCGGTAGCTGCTTTTTTTTCCTCTCTTCCTTTTTTTTTGTTTTTTTTTTACGGTTCTTGGTGACGGCTCCTTCATTTCGCGTCGTGTACCGTTTCTCGCTGCATTTCTGGTCTTTCTCGCGTCTTTCGCAGATACGTTTGTTCATTTTTTTTTATCGGTTTAATTATCTTTAGCGAGCTCGAAGCCAGCAAATTGCATCTCTAAGATAAAATATATAGTGAAATTTTTTAGGAAAATGTATTGCTTCGATTAAGAGTTTAAAAGAGATGACAATTTTCGAAAAAAAAAAATTCAATCTTTGGAACTTTTGAATCTTTGAGAAATCTCAAGATTTTTCAATTTTTACACAGAAAAAAAGAACATTCTTATTTTTAAAATATATTTAGTTTTAACATGGAAATCTTGAAATGAAATTATATTTAACACTTAATTTTCTTCTGTGTATCTTTGTCAAAAAAATTTTGAACTTTAATCAAGCGACTCAGGTGTATGAAAAATTTAGTCCTCTAAATTTGTAGACATTTATAGAGATTTAGTTCTGGTAATTTTAGATCGTATCGATGTATTATGGCTTTTATAATGCAGCCTATTCAGGTTTATCCAACGTATTTAGGGGACTGCGAGCTGCAGGGTATGAATAAATAGCATGTCTCCCTCTCTCTTTCTATCATTTTCTCCCCGTGCTTCTCTCTCTTTCGACTCTCTTTCGCTTCGCTGTGCTTCGCTTTGACCGGCCAAGGGACGAAGGGCGGGGGAACGTGCGGAGGGTGAGCACGTGGCTTTTGATACTCCGTCACGGCGATCTTCGCGGGCGCGCCTTGAAGTCTGAATTATTGGCCTAGAAGAGCGGCGCCCCTTGTCGAATGGTATCCGGGCGTGACGTCGACAGCACCCGGTGGGTGGCAGAGAAAAACGGAATCCACAAATACCCCGCAAACGCGTGCACAAGAGTGTTCTCTCTCCAAAGAAAGGGAAAAAAAGAGAGAAAGAACTCAACTGCTGAGAGAAGGCACAGAAATCTCGAATCCTCTAAGAGACAATATTCACTAGCGAGGCGTTTCTTACAGAATATAATTACAGTTTGATAAATCTCATTATTTAATTTCTATATTTTGGGAGAAATAAATTGATTACTTTGTCAACAAAAGATGAGAATTTTTAATCTGACAAATTATTGCATAACTTTGTACTTGAATTACGAAAAGTCCTCAGAAAAGAGACAAAATGAAGTTAGATTCTAATAGTTTGATAGATCGCAACATGATTCTTGATGAAGACTACGCGCGCTATCCATCTTGACAAGTCTTATTTCGAGAGTTGGCGCAAACGCATCGGGTTTCTTGCGAAGTGGTATTCGAGCATGGCAGCAGCTAAAAAGGAATTAGCGCAAGGGTGACTGTGCGAGCTCTTCGCGGTGTGAAGGACTTGGACGAAACGCGACGAGGCTGGCTGGCTGACTGACTGAAAGTGAAGTCGGGAGTGGTGCATCCGCGCGTGGCGAAAGAGCAAGGCATTAAAAAATCAGGAAGCGGAATCTAAGCGACTAGCACCAGGAAATAATGTCGCGTGGCAGGAGACACACTCCTGTTACACTTTCTCGGTTGCGGAAAAAGCGGGCTGCGCAGAATCGCTTATTAATCGCGGCACGAGCAAAGATAGAGAAGTAGAAGAATCCTCCTGTCACTGAGGAATCTGTCCCTATTAAAATACAATAAATCATAGAGAGAAAATATATACTAAAAAAATATATTTAAGGAAGTAAAAATATAATTCGTTGAAATGATGCACGGATTAAAAAGTATGAAAAACTCTAGAAAGTTTCGAAACTAGCGTCGAATTCTGCAAATCTAATTCCGATGGCGTGTCTTCATAGCTTGCATAATTCTTGGCGCGTTCATGGTCATTAATTAGTTAAATTATGCATTCTATGCCGACGGCATCGGCAATCGAATTGCTCGTTCGAAATAGAATCTTAATTAATTCGCGATTGTTTCTGCATTTCTGATCACCGTCTAGGACTAATTCTTTGATGCGCCGCGAAATCTCGCTGCTTCTTGCCTTTCTTTTATAAATATAAAGTATAAATTATTATAATTTACGTTTTTTAGCTTGAAAATCCCGAAATCGACTGCAATTTTATCGAATATTCTACAAAACAAGCGTGCGATTGTTTATTGACAAAAAGTGTAGTAAAATTATCGATGATGTAGCAATGACTATCAAAATTCTACAAAGTAACCGAATTCAATAAATCTAAAGACTTTCATCGATTGAGAGATTTAGATGTTTATATTGGCAATAAAGACTGCACTTTTTGCTCATTTTCATTCAATGAAATTCTTCATCTTTATATTTTATTATTTTTAGGTATTTAAATATTTTTGCACGAGTGGAAAGGAATTTTTGATATTTATAAAATTATCGATACACCTCTTCGCTAATATATATCTTCCGATTTTTAAATAAATTTCTCTTAATTGCATTTTAAAAATACTCACGGAGCGTATCGATGCATATCTATTTCAAAGTGCAGTCTACCTGCGATATTCATTCGTACATCAGCTTCACGAAGGACACTGAAATCGAGGACTCTTCTCGATCGCTTATATCGAATGTAAGGGACAAACTCGCGCGTGTTCCAGTCACATTCGAAGATCGTTCATTTTGAAAACCGATGAGGCGTGATGGAGGCCGAAGGATTCCTAGATCCCCGTAGCCGATGCCGGGATGGCTCTCGTTTACTCCACTGTCCTCTGACCGGTTCCAGGATTGAGATACCGATAACGCGGATGATCGATGCCGGACTAGGCGGACAGAAAATCGTTGATGACAGTGCGACGGTGTCGAACATCGGCGACGTCTCATTTACTTGGTCGGACGCCACGTCCTCGTGGATTCTTCGCAGGACACGAATTCGGTCGCAACGTTGCGGAAAATGGCTTTAAAAGCCATTTGTTTCGAAAAGAATTTAAATACAAGAAATGATCAAATTTTCCTCAGAAGATCGCCTTACGATTAATTTTAATTGAAATAAAAAATTAATTGAGCGAAATAATAAAGTTTGCGATTCGCGATGTACTTTCGAAAATTTATAAGTATGAATTTCAAGATAATCAAACGCGCACGCAAACAAGAGGCAGCGTCTCTAAAGAAACGAAATAAATGTAAATTTTAAGTAATGAAACTTTTTTTCTCGTCCAAGAGCACCCGTCTTTCTCCATCAATGACGTCATCACCGCCGTTCCCTTTATCCCCCGTCGTCCTTTTTTGGCTTAGAAATTCAACGAATAATCGCGAGCTGAAATCGCATCGGCGCGCCTGCTATGCGTCCTGAATGCAACATGATGCATATTGCATGGCCGAAGGAAAGCCGTTTGCCACTCGCGACGCAGACCTGTGCGAGCGCAAAGTTCACTTAGAAATCGGGACGAGGACCGAAACAGACTTCTTACAGAAGACGAATACGGGCAGGAAACAGCGGCAAAAAAATTAACGTGAAGCAAATAAATCAATTACACCAAGATTGCCCTTACTTTTGTAATATCAAGAATTAGTTACTCATTATATCGTAAATAATTTTATCGTAATAATTATTTATTGTAATTTTTTTATTTTTTACCTTTTTATTTTTAATTATTTATTTATTTTGTATTTATTGTAATATTAAATTTCTTAGAAAAAAACATACCGTGAAATTTATATGCAACTTTTTTTAGTCGCATCTGTCAAGTCACTTGTTGCGTCATAATAATTCTTTTTATAAGAATGGAAAGGTGTACATCACGTTAATAGACCGGCAAATGGGATCATCATATAAACATGAGTTTATATGAGGTTTCATAACGGGTGTTCTCGCGTCGGGGGAAAAACACGGCAAAACAGCCATAGAATTCCCTTTTTTCTGTATTCGGCGAGCGTAATTTAGGCGAAGCCGGTAACCGGTCTTGCGTAATTTGGTCTGACGTGCTGAATATAAATAATTTCAGTTTTAATAGCCGCGAGAGACGCATCGCATATTTTCATAGCTTCGTATAATCGGGCAGTTAAATCGTTGACGTTGCGGCGTCTAAAAGAAGTCTATGAATGCGGCTTGTCGCCAGCTTGGGCGGACAAAGCCCGTAAATAAGGTGAATAATGAGCGGCAGTTCTCTTGGAAAACGCAAAGACTTGACGTTTTATATCGATCATATGTTTGAGTTTATACTTTGGCTCCGTTTTTAGAAGAGATTTTCTTCTTTTTGCTCTCCCGCTCTTTTCGCTGTTTAATATCGAAAGGTTGCTGGAAGAGGCCGACATAACGCTAAGGTTTGCGACACACAAGTCTCTCTGTCAGACCGATTTAAAGAGACACGATATTACTTTAGAACGAATCAAATTTCACGAAACTTTTTGCACGCGTATAAATGGAGCGCGGAATACCTGGCCATTATCGTTGGTCAGTGAATCCAGTTAACCGACTGGTAAGACAGGACGGACATTGTTACGGCCGTTTTTGTCAGGTGAAATTCTGGTTCACCATCGTAGCTCGCACGCCACCATGCGACTTTCCATCGCGTCTCCTTCGTGGAAAGTCTCGGACTGTCTGTTGTCGAAAGCCAATTCTACGAACTAAACGTGGATGTAATATGCAATTCCCGATCTAGTTTATATCGCGAGGAAAAACGAGGCAAAGTTATTCTGCGCGGAAAAAACCGCGAAATGGTAGCAATTTTTTCAATTAACGTCGTCGAGACGAGTTTTGCGAAAACTGTCACATCGGTTAGTAATTATTTCTCAATTGAAATTTATGTCGAAAGCTTCGAGGAATCAATTAGAGTCCAGTTTTTTGAAGAACACTCGAGAGGGAAGGAAGTGGGATATGTATATGATGGGAAAGACACATACGCAACGTATATCGTCAAAATATATTCGATGAAAAAATGATGTTGCAAAAGAGTCGGACAATCCTTCCGCATCGTTACAAGGAGGAATAATAACAGTAATCCTGCGTATCGTCATTGCTATTATTACCTCTCGCCTAGTAAAGAAGCCACACGACTGAATGCAATTAATAGGGCCCTACAACCTATAACGGTGTCTTAAGAAACGCGCGTGTGTGTGTACATATTTTATACACATACATACATGCGAGGAGGAACATCCTTTATTTACAGTAACAGGGTCGAACCGTGGATTTATCTCGGGATCTGTCGCCGTCTTGAGCAATAATATACAATTACGATAACGCGCATTCGCAGCTCGCGTGTTTTATAAATAATTAATATTTATTATCTTCGTCAAAGTCCAGCGTTTCGTTCTCGCGCATTCGATAGAGCGTCAATTAATCTTGGAGCTGTAATGTCTTTTTCGAAAGGAAACAACGCAAAAATAAAATGCACATTTCATCATGTCAATCAACAGGAGTCAGTTTTGTCGAAAACTTGCAACAAGAATGAAAAAAAAAAAAAAGAAAAAAATATATATGTGTTATATACAGCATATATATTGTTAGAAAAATCAATAATGCTGACAACTCCAATATATGCAATTAATAAATTGATTCGTCAACATTCAATAATAGCGATCGATTGTATCCTCGGAAAAATGATGAAGCAAATGATGTCCTGAAAAACGTCGACGATTCCTCGAGAACTCACGAAACGCTGGATTTTCACAGCACTGGTAATGTTCGCGACCCTTAATTACACTTAGACGAATAAATAGATCTCGTTTACTAATTACATTGCCTTCAACGAACAACTTTAGTGTTCTGCGACGGAGCGCCGCGCGAAATTCGAGCTACAATAAATACAACGATTTTATCAATTAAACGGATCCACGCACGCGTCGATCATATTCACGTCCATCGATTTCACGTCGTCTCGATCAGCTGTTCGTACCGAAGCGAGCTTCTCGAGAGTCGCTGGATGACGAGGAAAAATGGAGTCTTCTCATCAGTTTCGAATCATCGAAGGGAAACTCCTCGTTCGATTCTCCGCTAATCGTCCGTTTCCGTTTCGAGCCGCTCGACATCGCGAGATGAGTCGTCCTCTACGTGATTCGCCGATTAATAATACAATCGGGCGCTTTCGCTCGCGCGAGAAACCGTCCACGACGTCGACGTCGACCCAGAATCGCGATGACGAATCGCGTCGTGACGCTAGTCGGAGATGACGAACCTCGAGGACCTGGACCTCGAAGATCACGCGCAGTCCAGGGACGCCAGGGACGCCGGACTGTGAGGACCGCCGAGCATAAAGGGCGGGCTCATCGGCGGCCCGCCACTTCCGGCGCAGTTCCCGTAGAGCTCAAGGTCGCCGAGGTTGCCGCCGTCCACCCCGCCATCGCACTTGTCCATCTTGCCCTCCTGCTTCAGCGACATACGCCGCCATTTCGCCCGCGCGTTCTGGAACCAGACCTGGGAACAAGACCAGCACAAGGTTCGGCCGTGTTACGTCATGCGAGTCATTGCTTAAGTTTGAGATGCAACCGATTAATAGTCAATTAAGTCAAGAAATTTCCGAATAGTAAAATAATATATTATTGTGCGTAATAATTTTGAGAAATTATGTTGTTTACGTCAAAGGAACTTATAAGCATGTAACGTTTAGATAAGAGAAAACAGATATGTACGGAGTCCTTTGTATTCACAATAGATGAAAGACTACACAGGTCGCGTCGCCATTTTCAAGACAGTCTCCTCCCCCGTAGACCTCGCAACGAAAGAACTCGCAAACCGACAACTCGTGCGTTTCCCCTTGGAGTGCGTGAGATTGTGTGCGTGTGTAAGTACGAGCGAACGAGTATTCGTGCGTTTCGCGATCAATATCAAGCAAGATGGCGACCAAGAACCCTACGAATACAATAGTAGCCACCTCCAACCCTCTCCTTCGAAGCCGACGAATGAACGCAGAAGCAGGAGTAATATGTTACGGAGTGACTGTTGTACGGAAGGAAGGTGCGGAGAAACATGGCGTGATCATCTCCCTGAGTGCATCTTTCGATTATCAAATTCTTGCCAAAATTGTGATTAAATGATTTCAGATTGTATAAATCGATCGTGAGGATTTAAAGTTTTAATACAGAGTCATTAATCTGAAAAGTGTAAATTTTTTAAGTCTCGTCAAGCTATCATCGAACTATGAATCTTTCAGATCTTTAAGTTTAACAGATTCCAATAGGTATTCAATCATTTAGGTATTCTTAATTTTTTTTAAGAGAAAAATTAAAAATTTAAGAATCCGATTGATATCTGTCAAATTTAAATATCCGAAGGATTCATAATTCGATGATAGCTTGACGAGAGTTGGAGATAGGTATTAATTGTTAAGATATTCTTTAAATCATTTAGGTATCCTTTATTTTTTTTTAAAGAGAAAAATTAAAAATTTAAGAATCTTATTAATATCTTTTATTTTTTTCAAAGAGAAAAATTAAAAATTTAAGAATCCTATTGGTATCTGTCAAACTTAAAAATCTGAAAGATTCATAATTCGATGATAGCTTGACGAGACTTGGAAATAGGTATCCAATCATTTAGGTATCTTTTATTTTTGACGATGATTGACGAGATTTATCCAATCATTTAGGTATTCTTCAACTCATTTAGGTATCCTTGATTTTTTTTATTTAAAGAAGAAAATTAAAAATTTAAGAATCCTATCTGTCAAACTTAAAGATCTGAAAGATTCTCATAATTCGATGATAGCTTGACAAGATTAAAAAAACTTACACTATCCAGATTAATGACTCTGTATTAAATCCTCCCAATCTATATAATCTAAAATTAATCAGGAACCTCGCGTCTATGAAGAGTCAAGGTAAAGCGAGAGAGCCTCGTTTCCTCTCTAGACCGTGTTACCTCATTTCGCGTCGCCATTTACTTCCAAATCGTCAATATCACTTCCGATCGCCCTCTCCCGCGCACCCGTGACACGCTTCACAAAGGAAGGAACGCGCGAAACTCTCGTACAGCAGTCTAATAATTTAACGGTAGATGGGTTAACGAGAGCAGGCCGGCGCGGCTTCTCCGGCCAAGCTTAGCTTAGCTTACGGGGGTTTTGACTCTGTCTCCGGATTGACGCCGGCTCGTAATTACGGAGAAAGGCCGCAGCCCGTCGACGGAAATATCGCTCCGTTCCGCGCGGTTCTTTTAACTTTGCAGCCACGCCGTCGTACGCGGGCACTAATTGGGAGGAGAAGCGCGTGTCTACGCACGTGAATATTTTTATAGGACGCATCTCGCACCCTCCCGAGAGTGCGAGCGAAGCGAAGAACCACCGGCTATCCATCTCTCGATTGTTCTTGTTATATTTGCCCGCTGATTTATAAACGTTTGTGAATTCAATCTACCGAAAAATGGAAGATTTAAAGCCGTATGAAATATATAAAGTATATATAAAAAGATTCTCCTCTTTCGGGGAGAGATAAGCATCGCAGAGATTGAAAATACGTGGATTTTTCTCATGTGCGTGGAATTAAAAAATGTGTAACGTACCTCGTATCTTAGATTACGCGATAAGCAGAGTCAATTAAGTAACTGCTTTTGGAGGCGAATGCTTAAGAGGTCAATAAAATCGTGCCGAGATTGAGAAAATCTCAGTTTCGACATCAGCGGTCAACCGTAAAGGAAGAACATGCGCGAAATTGCGAATCGAAGGAACGAACGATCTGTTTACCTGCAACACCCTTTTCGGCAGGCCAGTTTTCTGAGAAAGCTGCTTGAGATCCTTCGCGTCGGGATTGTGATTGAGCGCGAAGTAGCTCTTCATCGTCCTTAACTGGTGATGCTTGAAACTCGTTCTCATACGCTTCGTTCTGCTGTTGGAGCCGGGCATGCCTGGAGTCCCAGGACCTCCTCTGCCGAAGGGCATATCGATATAATCCGCGTTTAAATCTGCAACATAAATCCAAATAGCGCCGTCGTGAGATTATGATTGAATTTTGATCAAGAGCTTAAAGTTTAGAAAAATATTAAGGATGTTTTGTACCTATTTTCAAAATATTGAGAATTTAATGAAAATTGTACAGAATGTCCTTACATATCTTTAGAATCTTCAGTACAATTTTTAAATCGATTCACTAAAGCGTTCACAAGTTGTAAGGATTTTAATTTGCACCGAATTAATGTGTTCTTATGGGAAACGTATAATCACGTCGATTCAAATGACAAAAATACATGGAAATAATATTCAGAAGTTGTTTAAAATTTGCAAAAGTTTAGATACAGAGGAAATATTCGGTCAAATAATATACAAATACTAACTGGTTAAAAAGATATTAAATATAATTTAATGAAGTTAGCCATGTATCTGTCACAAGGCGAAATTCTCTGCCAAAAGTTAATCATTTCGATTAACAAAATTCGGAATATATTTCAGTAAAAACGCAATAAATATTAAAAAATACATCTCTGTGCTGTAGCTAAAATCAAATTGTAATTTCCATGCAATTTCTTACTCAAAATACACCAAAAGTAGATATATTCGTCAATATTGATTTTCAGCTACTTTTTGCTGCGATTGTCCATACAAAACATCCTTAAATTTATCCTATCGATCAATTTCCTTAAATTCAATTTTTTTTCTTGACAATCGATGATATCATTGGTTGTAATTATCGTGTTTTCGCTATCCCTGTCTCTTTCTCTCTCTTTGCAGGAGAAAATGAGGAGTTAATGAGGTGTGATATTCATCAAACAGCGCGAAAACTTGCTTCCATGGTTATATTCGAAACTGAAGCTTAATCGATAGCTCTGTTCAAGCTCGCTCGAGACATCGAGATTGATCGTTTGATTAATAAACCGCGCATTTGCAGATTTCGTAATCTCTTTTCTTTAATTTCTCTCTCTTTAATTTTACACGCAATTTCATTTTCTTCTGGAGAAGCGAATTAAAAGAGATGTGAAATTATCAAGACCGCGGTCGCTTATTAGACAATTCATCTTTACAAATCGTTTGTTCGCGCGCGAGAAAGGCCGCTCGCCTCGAACTATAACCGTAACTCAAGTGCAATTACTAAACGCACGGCTATTTATCTCGCCTCGAAAGCGTAGACTGTCGCGGCCCTTAGCGACGACCGTAAAAAATTGCCGGCATGATCCACGATAGATCAGAGACTGGCTTGTGGTACCCGGGCGATCACCTGCGCGCCGCTACAATCCTTTTTCACGACGACACGGCGACACCGAACGACCTCCTCCAGCGAGAACACGGAAAAAAAGACAAAGTAAGGTGAAAAAGCGAGAGAGAGAGAGAGAGACAAGCTAGCAAGTGGAAGCCTCAGGCCCGCGTGGCGGCTGGTTTTTCGGCTGGAAAGCAGCCTGTTCCCACGCGATCGTTCGACAATCGGGAATTGAGTCCTCGCCCGGGAGGGAACTATCGGCGAGCGAGCTGCCGCCCACGCGCGACTACGCGCTTCGTTGGGAATTCGATTCGGGAATTTATGTCGCGCCGACAAATTTTATCAGGCTTCGGTGGCAAGCGTGTCTCGCGCGCCCAGGTACGCCCGTAAATCACGGGACGTGGCAGGCTTCTACGAGACACGGTCGCTATCCGAGCTTCTCCGTCTCTCGGATACAGTCTCGGGCCTGAAACTCTGCAAACTCCCCTGGAAATTCATGAAATTTTGAGAGATCCCAACATGCGATCCTCTTCTCTCGATCGCGATGTCAAAGTTAAAAGTCGTTAAGGATGTTTTGTACCTATTTTCAAAATATTGAGAATTTAATGAAAATTGTACAGAATGTCCTTACATATGTTTAGGATCTTCAGTACAATTTTTAAATCGATTCACTAAAGCGTTCACTAGTTATAAAGATTTTAATTTGCATCGAATTAACGTGTATTCTTATGGGAAACGTATAACCACGTCGATTCAAATGACAAAAACACATGGAAATAATATTCACAATTTGTTTAAAATTTGCAAAAGTTTAGATACAGAGGAAATATTTGGTCAAATAATATTATACAAGTATTAACTGGTTAAAAAGATATTAAATATAATTTAATGAAGTTAGCCATGTATCTGTCACAAGGCGAAATTCTCTGCCAAAAGTTAATCATTTCGATTAACAAAATTTGGAATATTTCAGTAAAAATGCAATAAATATTAAAAAATACATCTCTGCGCTGTAGCTAAGATCAAATTGTAATATTCCACGCAATTTCTTACTCAAAAAACACCAAAAGTAGATATATTCGTCAATATTGATTTTCAGCTACTTTTTGCTGGGATTGTTCATACAAAACATCCTTAAATTTATCCGATCAATTTCCTTAAATTCAATTTTTTTTCTTGACAATCGATGACATCATTGGTTGTAATTATCGTGTTTTCGCTATCACTGTCTCTTTCTCTCTCTTTGCAGAAGAAAATGAGGAGCTAATAAGGTGTGATATCCATCAAACAGCGCGAAAACTTGCTTCCATGTTTATATTCGAAACTGAAGCTTAATCGATAGCTCTGTTCAAGCTCGCTCGAGACATCAAAATTGATCGTTTGATTAATAAACCGCGCATTTGCAGATTTCGTAATCTCTTTTCTTTAATTCTAGCTAAGATCAAATTGTATTATTCCACGCAATTTCTTACCCAAAATACACCAAAAGTAGATATATTCGTCAATATTGATTTTCCGCTACTTTTTGCTGGGATTGTACATACAAAACATCCTTAAAATCCCAATGTACTCACCGAGGCTCGCGGTCATGGCCTCCAGATCCTTGGGCTTCCTCTTCCTGGGCCTACCCTTCTGCCTGGGCGGCGGGACTACGGCGGCGGCGCCGTTAAAGTAGGGCACCTTGGGAGGCGAGGACGCGTCGGGCACCGTGGGCGTCGAGGGCTGCAGCGACACCGGGCTGACGTGCGGGTGCTGGGGGTGCATCGAGTGATGCGGGTGCGGCGGCGCGTGGTGGTGATGATGATGATGGGGATGATGGTGGAGGAACTCGGGCGAGGGGAAGGGCTGGCCGGGGTAGTGCGGGCCGGGCGGGTAGACCGGGACCGGCGGGCTCTGGGCCGGATGCAGCTCGGCGCCCATCTCGTAGTGCAGCCGGCACAGCACGGCGCCCTCCCGCATCCCGAAGTGGTCGCCCTTCGTCAAGGGCACCGCGCACGCCGCGCACGAGAAGCAGCGCACGTGGAACACGAGCTCGCGCGCGCGCATCACCAGCTCCGAGGCCAGGATCGCCGCCTGGCAGCGCGCGCACCGCTTCATGCTGCCGAACATCCTGCGAACAGAGAGAGAACGAGGGATGGGGATCAATATTATCACTGCCTGACCGAATAAACGGGGGCGGGGGAGGGGGATGGCAAAGCGCGACTCGCGGATGCGAGTTTCATTTTCAAAGGTGCGCGTGGAGCAAGATTGATATTCGTCGAATCGAACGACGGTACCTCCACTTGTTTATATTTCAAAAATATATAATTTCGATTTGTATCGTTTAATTAAATTAAGGAATTATTAATAATTGATTCGAGAAATTAAATAAATCCTGTAAGGAATTATCGAATAATCCAGAGTACGTCCAGATAAACGACGAATCCCTCGGGTTCGATTAATCAAAGGGAGAGGGAGGGAAAAATAATTCACGCGAAAATAAACTTACGCCGCGTTATCTCGCGTAAACACATTCCGCACGTCCGACTATCGCATCGTGATATACCCCGGTATCGCAACGTCCTCGATAGAGAGTTTAAGGAGAGAAACCACACGCCGTACGAGAGTAAGAAGCGAGGAAAAGAGAGGGTGAGAGGTGGAGAGGAGCGCGTACGCGCGTCGGCTGATATCGCGGACGGTCGGCGAGAGAGGCTGATATCGCGGAGGGGACGAAGGGGAGGGAAGGGGGGCGGAAGGGGAAGAGCGTATACCGGGCACCGTGACATCGCTACTGCATTAGCGGCACCCTGCAGTCTCCATTACCGGAGCCGGTCGACTATCTGGCCGACAACCGACGCCGCGGCTACCTACCTACCTTACCCGGCCACTTTATCTCTCCTCCCGAATATATTGCCACCCCGCGCGCCTCCGCTCCCCCTCGTCCGCGCACTAAAGAACCTAGATAAAGACGTGGCCGATCTTATAACGCGCCGATCCCGGCCCCGGAGCCGGTCCCATTGGAAGGAATACGCGTCCTTTACGACGTCCCTTCCCTCCCCCCGATGCGCCCTCGGCATCGGAAATGGATATGTATTTCGGCGACGGCGAAATAAACGCGAGATACACCGTTCGTTCACCGTCAGAGGATGCGGCAAATCTTACAGATTCTCTTCCTCGGGCTCTCGAGATCGTTTTTTTTTTCCTTCTTTTTCACGTCCCTTTTTTCACAAAACGCTTAATATTTGCATTATTGAGGAGCACATTGGAGATAGACTTTTATTTTACTATTTAAAAAATATAATATTTCTACATTTTTTACTACAGGTTCATTTATTAGAAATATTTATTTATTTAAATTTATTTATTTATAGAATTATTTTATTTATTTATTTGTGGAATTTATTTTTTATATAAATAGATATTTATATAGAATTTTTTGTATTTCTGCGTTTTTAAAAATCAGCAGAGTCTAGAATTTTAAAAATTTGATGTTTATAATTCCTCGCCTCTCTCCTTTTCTTTCTTTAATGTGAAACTGTAGACAGATTGTCAGATTTTTAATGAAGGATTCGTTTGAAGTATACATTACATTCGCGATGTTGTAAGCGAAGTTGGTGCAGATCAGAAATATTGATATAGAACGACATAGATAGGAACAAAGGGAGGATGTAGATGCATTCATGATCTGAATCTTTGTAATTGGAAAATGAGGAGAAAATGCGGAACAAATACTCGTAGGAGGAACAGGATTATTTACGCGTTGAATGCAAACGAGAAATTGCGAAAACCGCGTCAATCGCGAGCGAAATGTAATACGAGTATCATGCGAGTAACATTTATGAATAATTTTGTTCAAGAGACCACGTTACACATTCTACAGTCGAAATCTAGAGAGAAGATTGTGCGAAGGGATATATAAAAATAAAATCGCGCACGCAATTGCGAGCTTTCGTTCGAAGAACGAGATGATCTGGAACGAGGGTATTCTCGTTACAAAGGACGGACATCCCTTTTGGTGGCAGTTCGGCGAGCGGAAGAGAATTGTAGATTCAAAGAGCTGTTTGTGTGTACGTGCGTGTTTGTTGTATATGTATAAGACCGAAGCCTAATCTGTGGGATTACCGCGCCGAGTCTCTCGTTCCTTCGAGGGTCTCTTGACTCGGGACACATTGTTATCGTCTCTGATCCTATTGACTACCCCCGGCCTGAATGAGCCGATGACCACTGGTTTTGTCTCCAGCGGTGTACCAAACCGCATATTTTCGTCTAATCGGATCTGTCGTATCCTGTTGGCTAATCGAGCGAGATACTGTACAAACGAATGTCGCGCCGTTTGAGGAAGATTGAACAAAGTAGGCAGACGTAATTTCCGAATCCGCAAAAAACGATCCTCCCTCGTGAGAAACGCTGCTTAAACCGTCTTATTAAAAAGTGTAAAAAAAAAAATGTCTCGAGCAAAACTGGAAATAAAGCAACTAAATTAACAATTCACGTACTTTATCCGAAGTAATCGGAAAGAGAGATAATTTGTTGATAAAATTTATTAAAATTTATTAAAATTATTCGGAAAAGTTGGTCGCTCATCTACCTTGGCGATCAGAAATCAGCGTTATTTCCAGCGGTGGGATAATTTATGAAGAGGAGAGATCAAAATACGAGACGTAGCGTGAAACAGCGTGAGACATTGTGACGTGACGCATAACGCGAACCAAAAAAGCTCCGGCAACCCAACCGTATTACCCTCAATCCCATAAAACATTCTTCCCCCTATTTACTCCTCGTTGCAACACACCACACCCCGCGCATTCTAGGCCGACAACAAGCGTCGCAGGCAGGTAAACGTCGGGCGGAACGATCGGAAACTAGAAGCTGCTTGTGAAGAAATCCGCAGACCTCGGGAGCCCCCCTGCCGAACGCGACCTGGAGGCGGTTTTTCGGGACCTTTCGTCACCTCTCTAAGGCCCGTCGTGCCGGATGAATGAACCGGCCCCGGGAACGAAACCTCTCATTCAGGTCTTCGTCCTCTCTCTCGGCGACGAGAGACGCCGCGAGGGGAGAGAGGGAGGACGAGGGGAGGGACGCCCGCAGAGTTTTACAAGATGCGCCATATGCGATACATTATTATACAATGCTGTATACGCTCGCCCTCCTCTCGCCGAGGGTGAGGGAAAAAAAGCGGCGGAAATCCTTTATGGAGCGAGCGCGCGGACCGCTCGCCGCGCGTTCGCACACTCGGACCACGTGGATTTCTCTTCCCTTTTCCTCTCTCCCGTCCAAAGAGAGCGTTCCCGACGTCTTCCTCTCTCTCTCTCTCTCTCTCTCTCTCTCTCTCTCTCTCTCTCTCTCTCTCTCTCTCTCTCTCTCTCTCTCTCTCTCTCTCTCTCTCTCTCTCTCTCTCTCTCTCTCTCTGTCTCTTTATTCCCGCGTTCTTCCGGGTCTGAGAGGAGCCGCGACTGCGACCGCGACTCGTCTAAGGCTCATCGACGTGATAATTAGCGGTCAGGGTTCTCGCCGTGTGTGCGTAAACAACTTCCTCGCTTCTGCGAAAGCGAAAAAAAAACCACCCCCTGCGATTTCTCACGGATTTGAGCGCGTGTCTCGAGCCGCGCGTTTATTTCGCGGCCACAATCGACGCGCGTCCTGATTAGATCCGCGTCGCGATTATCGTCAGATGCATTAATTACGGTGCAACCGGTAGAATTCCACTCCGCGGCGCTGCCCCGACGGTCTTTATCGTGGAAATAATAATTTACGGCATCGGTCGCGCCGGGCAAGGCCGAGCGAGCCGCTTCTTAATCCCCGAACGCGCGCAGAAAACGGGTTGCACGGGCAGAAATGCGAGGCTGTATTATAGATAGACGATACAGGGTGTCGCCGAAACGCGAACGCGAGGCTATATTTCTCGCATGGGAATTTAAACGGAGAATCCGCTAAGTTCTCCATTCTTCTTTTTCCATAATCACCATTATTTAAATGGAAAAGTGGTATTACCGATCGTAGCAAGATTATAAATGGTAGATTAGCGTGAAAAGATTGCGACAAAAATTCTATGATAAAATATTCATTCATATAATATATTCGTAAAATATTCATTCATATTTGCTGCGCATAAATAAATGACTAATTATGAGAGATACAAAGTATAAATAATTAATTTAGGCTCTGATATTTTGTATTTATTACGAGTTAATTTGTCGTAATATTCATATTAACAGCACTTATCATTTAATTTTTAGATTGAAAATTGTAATTAAATTTTTTTATTATATTGAAAATTATATTGAAATCTTTTTATTATATTGGAAATTTTTATATTGAAAATTATATTTAGATAAAAAATATTATTTTCCTATTGAATGCAAGCGGAATGTTTGCCATTGATAATTATAATTATTAATTACACAAACTTCAGAACACCAAGTATATAACAATCTGCGGGCGACTAGATAACGCCAGACCTTCGTATCTTTTGAACATTCAGCCGCAGCCATCGACTAATACGACAGAGATACCATAAAGCGCGTATAGAATCTGTATCAAGGTCGCTTGACCATTCGCACCTCAATAGCATCCTCGGGATTCAGTTGCCAGGCAACGAGAGCTTTAAAATGTTCAAACATGAATTATTCTCATATTCGCAGACTTGTGAGAAAAAAACGAAGACGAGACCCAAACACCTGGAATCTTGCAAAGAAAAATCCTCTTGATTTTATAAAAAAAAAAAAAAATGCCCTATACATGACAATGGTCTCCATTCACGTGTCACCTGTTTGTAACTATAATCATCTATTTACAATTAACTTATACGTAATTACAATTAAGCTCGTTACCTATCGCGCGATCGCTATTCACGACGCATACATCGTCCCTCGGGCAACGGAAGATTGCGAAAAACTCGCTGTCAGCGAGTTTAACGCGGACTTAATAGCGGACAAGCGCACTCGCGTGTATCGCATTATTAACGACACGCGGTCGGCGGAAGTGTCGGGGCAAGAGTGGCCGAGCTTGATGAATGATTTTCGCGTTAATCCCGAGCGATCGTGCAAACTCGCAGCTCGTCGTTTCATGGAGAAGTCGGACGCTCGGTTCCCTCTCCTCTCTCTCTCTCTCTCTCCCCCTCCGGTTGCGGTC